TTAATTACAAACACACGCACAGAAGATATATGTATTAAAGTGAGATGTAACGAAAATGTGGGAAAATCGCAAATACTTAAAGTATTTCTTTTGAAAACGTTCACGTTGATAGTACAAAAGGTGCGATTGTATTGTGTACTCAAATATGTATGTGTGTCAACGCATCGCGACAATATGCCGTTATATTGACCTTGTCGCGAAAGTATACTTATAACATTTCTTTGTTTAAATGATTAGACATTTGACAAAACATTCAAACAACTAACTACTTCATTACTTGAACAAGCGAATATGTAATTTATCTCCGCTTAAAACACTGTTCCTTAGATACAACCATGAAATAGTGAAAATTATTCCGATTGAGAATTTCTTTATAATCAAATTTATACACAAGTTAAAAATTATCAATAAAACATATGTTACAAAGTAAATATTACTTTGAATTTAACGAATCATAAGACCTTGGAAAACAAATCTTTGTAAAAATGATAAAAAATTGTGCGTGTAATAGGTGTACACACGTAAGAAGTAAAACTTCTTTAAGATCTTATTTTTCGAAAAATGATCTACTATATGCAACTTTACAGAAATTCGTTAAATTAGATAAAGTTTAACAAAAGGCTTTTATTATCATAGACATGAATACAAATATTTCATTTTACCTTATTACTACGAAGATTATTATAGAATTTCATTAATTGTAATAGAATTATTACTATCATTGAAAAACGTGACGATTTGCTACAAAATTTCTCCCATACGTCGAAGAAGTTTCATTCCAACGCCGATAAAGAAGTTTGACTTCAAAAAGCAACATGGCGCGTAACCGAAAAATGTGACGCGTAACGAAAAAATGTTACACTAAATTTTTTTCCAACCTCGATAAAGAAGTTTCACTTCAAAAAACAGCCCATAGTGACGTATAGACGTTATTCTATTAATAGTGGAAAATTGAAAACTTTCCATAACGAGGGCAGAAACTACCGTTTTCCACTTCAATTGTCAACAATAGTTATGGTAAATTAAACTGTGTGTGAACGGAACCAATGACTATTTCGAAATCGGCCCGTATTTGTATGAATAACAATAGTTTGGTATTATATTCTGTAGAACAATTTAAAATATGTAGTTCTACTTACATACATTATTTTAATGAGGGAAGGATTTTATTTTAAACAGTTAAATAATAATGTCTTTTATACGAGGGCGGGTATAGCGTCCCACAAAAGTCAGAACCTATATCATTGTTAATTACTTAAAAACTCAATAAACTAAATGATTATGATTTTGTTCAAAATAGTATTAAACAAGAATTTGTTATGTCCTGTCCAGGCCAACCTGGATCCGCCCTTACTTTTATAATATTAAATTTAATCAGCAAAATTTTCCAAATTCCGTATGCAGAAACCAACCGTTCAGGCACCTCTCTTTCGAATTCTTCGCGATTATAACGGATTAAACAGTACTTATCCGGAGCTGGATATATTCGGTAGTGGGCTGATCGGATTTAACGAAATCATTGTTAAATGCCTATCTCGTATCTAATCCGCTGTTTTGATGGTAATTTTTTTCTGCTTAACACACATTTCTGGTATTTTTATTATATCTTGACTATATATATATATATATAACTTATATTAGAACTGTGAGCGTTCACTTTATCATTTTGTTTATTGTAGTGTTCTTCAATCGTGAAAATTTTTTCATCGGCAAAGAGGATATTTCACTGCTTTTCACTGTGCATCGAGCTTCAGGCCCTGTTCTATAATACGCGACAGAGTCCTAGCGGGAATCTTCATTTCTCGCGATAAGATTTTTTGCTTCCTAATGGGGACTCAACGAATTCTTTTTGTAGTTCTAACAGCACGCGGCCGCCCCGATCTTTTCTGGTATTCGACAGACGAAGTGTTGTTGTATCTGTTTATAGTACGATATACGAACATATGGCTGATACCAAGCTTTTGAAGTGTCTGGAATATGACCGACGGCTCCATACCCACTTTGTGCAAGGCGATCACTGCAAATAGCAATCCTATTGTATGCGTAATGAAATTGTATGAAAAATCTATACATCCGTGCTGACGGACAATACTTCACAAAACGGGACTTTTTTGTAAAATGTCACGATAACAGCAGATATTAGCACAGTAAAGTAGCCAGTTTCCTTAAACACAGTCGAATAGCGTACTATTTGTAGACTTTAAAAACCCGAAAGAAGTGGTTTACAAATCAACGTGAAAATTTTATAATACAATGCTTTGTAATCAAGGAGTCTAGAGAACGCTTGAGTAATCAAACATTATCAAAATGCGAGCAAAATGAAAATAAGCTGATAAAATATTGATTCAACCACGACAAGACGAATTGAATTGCGCAACTTATTTGGATTAAACAAAAATTTATGGTAATTTCGACGATTCGATGTTCTCATTGTTGCTGGATTTTTTTTGATAATTTTGAGTTATTTAAACTCATCTGAAGTTAATTGATACCGCCGCCCATGGACAATCACATTGCCAGAAGGCTCGCAAGTGCGTTGCCGGCCTTTAAGAATTGGTACGCTCTTTTCTTGAAGGACCCTAAGTCGAATTGGTTGGAATACTCCAGTGGGCAGCTGGTTCCACATAGTGGTGAAGCGCGAAAAAATAGCTCGGAAAGTCTGGTCGTCGACGATTCGAATCGCTTAGTTGAATATATAGTTAAGTAGAGGAAGCTGGTACTGGGGAGCCCAGATGTGAGAACAGTACTTCATGTGGGGCCGAATTTGCATTTTATAGAATTGGAAGCGGGTTTAGCCTTCCCTTCCAAATGACCGACAAACTGAACGTAATTCGACATGTCAATGCCCAGTATTACGATGGTAGGTGAGGCTTTAAGGAGAGTGTCTTCTCTCGGTAAGCTCGTCTCGCTCTATCTGCTGGTCATATGGTGGTGCCATTTTGCCAATATGATGAGCCCTAAGTCTAAATTACAGAATTTTAAAAATTTCAGAAACCATTTCGGGAGCTTACCATGATCTGCGAAGCAAGATTAATTTAATTTTTGTTCATTGTTGAATACAGCTTAACTCAAGCAACGACCTTTCATATTACGGGAATTCAAAGTAATAATGAAGCATTGTCGCCGATAACACTGTTGTTTACACCAAATGATTATGGTGACTCCAGATAACTCCAAAAACTATTTATATCCAGATTCACATTAGTATATATGAAATAAGGAAAATAACAGAATCCTATACATATAATTTTATTATGCATTGAAAAATCAGAAACAAGTTTCATGTTACATCTGGTAGAAATCCGGTTCCGTCAAACTCAAGAGGCTTTATTGTTTATATTAAACCATTTATTTACGATGAGTTAGACTAAATGTAAATAATAAAATAATTATAATTGTGTTAGCATATTGAGATATGTGGAATAAAAAAAAAATCTACAACTTTTTGTCTATAGAATCTGTCGGTGATTCTTAAGGTCTTTTCATTGTACTATTTATTTGGTTAAAAATATAATGGTAATTTATATTAACAATAAAATAAAGTACATGCAATATTTCTGGGTTCGATTGGCGAAGCAATGGCGTCGTGTCACTCGGGCAACAAAAATATTTAGGTTCGAGTGTTACTATGAAAGTAACGAAAATTTTCTGTTAGAAAAAAAAAGGAAGGGGAAATAGCTTAGCCATTACTGTAGACTGCTAAAAACTGAGTGAGAGGTCCTTTAATAGCCAGTAATCAAGGAAAAAAACGGATTATCATTATTGGAAGTTTCAGGTACATAAGTATAATTTTGGGACATATATTATTTTGTAAATTTGTAAGTAATTAATCTATTATGACATATGATAAGATTATTATCTAAACAAAATAATTGTCTTTATAAAGTGTGAATATTGAGATTAAACGTATAAGGTGCTACTTACATAGATTCAGATGAAACTATGCATCATATAATAAGTAGGTGTAGGCGACAATCGCCGGCGCCTCACAGTCAATGACCATAGAATTAATATCACATACACATACTGAAGAAAGTCATTGACTTGAAGTTTATAACTGTTTGTTTGTATTAGTATAAAAAAGTCTATATCTTCATAATTTGATCTAAAATATATACTACTAATATGAAGTTCCATATGTAACAATTACATGACTGACACTCTTCGTCTAAGTCTTATACACTTATTATACAGTAAGTCTAGAGATTACAAATACAGAAAACTTTGAAAAAAATGTATTTTGTTTTAGTGTTTGTTTAAGCAGGATAAATTTCCAGTCTAACTACATACATAGGTTTTCTTTACATTAACAGCTGTATTAATTGTTTAAAGTCGCTATGGTCGATTTAGTTTTTAATAACTAAAATATATCTTGTAACAAAAATTAAGCAAAGAAATAAACCAGTATTAAATGTCAATGTCTGTTAATAATAGTGGTTATAATTATATGCAACTTTCATATATTATAAGAAATTTGTAGATATTTTTGATATTTATTCTGATTTCGACGCAGAGAAATCAGTAGTATTTGAATCACAATATTATTATGCCAAACACAAACAAAGGACAACATACCATAAGAAAAAAGTAGGAAAGGTTTATTACTTAAGTTTCACAGCTACTACTCCCCTAATACTTAATTCCTATTACTTTACCACAAGAATGACTTTAACTAAAAAAAAATAGCTGCATGTATTTATGCAAGATAACAGTATCAAGTAATAAATTAATAAAATATTAATTTAGTACTGTAACAATATATAACAATATATAATATATATTTTAAATGATGATTGACATGTAATAATAACTTAATCAGTTATAAGTTTATACTATAAACCACACAAGCTATTTATCTGATAACCTTTGCATTATTTAGTAAGTGCAGTGAAATTAAGACAAAACTTGTAACTGTATACTTAAGCTTTAGATCTGAAAAAATATTTTAGATTTTATGACCTCTGTTGTCCGTGTATATGCCAATATGAATAAATAAGTTATTAAGAAGAACTTACCTCTTTAACTGTTTCTCTTTTGTGTCTAATACCAGGATCTGTATTCGAGTCCATCATGGGTAAAACATATTTATTGCTTCCAAGAACAGATTTTTCGCCTGCAGGGGACACATCTTTAGCTGCGTTATTTACGACATTTGGTTCTTCAATAGCATCTACAGGAGGCTTGCTAGGACCTCGAGATGATGAGATAGACGGTGCCGAGTCAAACTGCGGCCTTTCCAAGACTTTCATTCCCATATCTTCATCTATCTTAGCTCGCAAACGATTTCTATCTTGAACAATATGAGGATCATCTCCATCCTCTCCATGGCGAACAATACCCACCACAGGAAAGTCCCCTACCTCATTTTGGGCTAGAGGCGGAGGCATAAGTAATTCTGGGCCCGCCTTTTGAATACGTTTGTACACATTATAAACACTGTCATTTACGCTAGTAGAACTTTTAAACTCTGGCAAATAAAAGAGAGCACCTAACCACACGATTCCGAATGTCAACAGTACTGAAATAATTAGGTATTTCTCGCGAAGCCGAAAGGAGCGACGTGATATTGATGGTACAGGAACGCCATTGACAAACCTTTGATAGCTCGGTAAAATTCCCGTCATGTTTACTAATTTACGATGTTTGTTCCAAATAAACAATACCAATCTCCAACTTGCGACCCGTCATCAACAGTCGCCATTAAAGAACTGACAAAAATCTTATGCAAAACGTCAACATTATTATGACAATTTGTCAATTGTCGTTTTTACCTTGTAGTGTTTAATAATTGTCATCGCTTTACCACAGAGATAACTTTGAACCGAATATAGCATAATAAATTATAAGTCTGTAGTATTACTAAAACTATGCATAAACTTCTTCCATACTGGTAATTTGTAAGTAGTTGCTCAATTTTATTAAATATCACAAAGGATATCGTTTGCCATATTTTTGTACTTCTGGAACACGCCATCTTTTAGTAATATGGTGTATCAGAAAGTATTGGAGGAATCACATTGCAAAAGCCAAAAAATACTTTATATTGATTAAAAAATATCAGTCTAATAAAATTAAATATAATGTAAAGTAATGGTCTAAATGCGGGTTGGGTTCGATAACGATGCACCCGAATCTGATGATACTGATTATGCAGGAGTCTTGGGGGAAAAGTAACAAATAAGAATAATAATATATAAATAATCGATCCGATTAATTAACCGAAAATGTCACATCACTTATAACCAATAGAAAACGTGAATTTCACATCTCTTATAACCAATAGAAAAGTAAATAATGGTGGATTGTTTACAAATTTCAATACATTTCTCAAAACTTTAAAATTTTTTTTTAAAATACTTTGACGTATTTCCGGCAGCTAAAATCACTTGGAGGTGTTCCAATGAAGGTCCCCCAAGACTCCTGCATAATCAGTATCATCAGATTCGGGTGCATCGTTATCGCACCGTTACCATTTATTTCAAGTGTTCTCATCCTTTTTATGTCAGAATCGTGTTCTTATGGTTATAATTTCTAATAGCTAAATTAAGACAAGGATATGATAAAATGAAAATATTTGTTTTATAAGCAAGTCATTTATTGGTAAGTAGATAAGACATCTAACGTATAAAAATAAGCTATAAAAATTTACGTAGGTATAATAAGTACATATCTTCTACAATAAAATTCGTATATTACATTCAATGAGATTAGATTTCAAGCTACACTTAAATACATTCCTACCGCATATGGATTTTATTCTCACGTGAGATCAGTCGCATCTTATTTAATTATTATTTACACCTACGTCTAAAATAATCGGTGGAGTTCCGTATTAAAATTAAGATCAATAGACACATTATTTAAATTTATAGATCATTGCTATGAACGTGGTTTAAATCTTGACATGTAAAAGTCACAATCTGGGCAATACGTAGCTGGGGGAGTAAGAGTTTTCTTTCGACACAAATTGCATACAGTTTTCTGACCATTAGACAACGTATTCGTTTGGGTTTCCGAATAGTTTCCATTCATCTGATGTGGTATCGGTGAATCAGTACCACCTTTTGTACCTGGCTCAAAAGAGACTGATTTCTTTTGCATCTGTTTAGGTGGTGCCAAATGTTGATATGGATTATAATTCTGATACCCATTCTGATGATATTGACTGATCTCATTGCCATTTTCTCGGGGACCACAGTTTCTTGGATCGACGCGTGTTTGATTTGAGTTAGCGTCGTAGTAATTGGGCATTTTCTGGTAAGAGTTTCCATTGTAGTTCTCAACTAGCACTTCACCATGAGGGGGTGGAACTCTTTGATACGGTGAAGCATTGTAATGATTTGTATTACTACCTTGATGTCGACTAGAATAATCGTTATGAGCGTAACTTGTCGGTGGGTTATGATAGCTCTGATAAGCTGGTGAATTTGTAGGTACGCTTTGATATGAGGAACTATTATTTTGTACGGTTTGAGGAAACTGACGGTTTTGACCATAGTTGGCAGGAGGTGTAGGCGTTGTCGAAGGTTGTGGGTTACGATGATAATAGGTATTATTTGACTGATTCGCTGGGTGCAGTTGATTCGAAGGATGGGGATATGTGTTGGGCACTGATCGTTGTATATTCTGTACTTGTTTTGTCATGTAAGGCTGATTATGAACGATAGGTGTGAGACGGTTAGCAGGGTTATGACTATAGTTCGGTGGGCTCGTGTTGTGACTCGGATATACTGATGGTGGTTGCGTATATGGTATGGGGTTGCTGGCATTTTGAGAATTAGCAGGTAATGCTTGATATATCTGATTATTGTTTTGAACAGTTTGATTTTGTACACACGGAGTCGTGTTCTTTTGTGCAGCAAGTTGTTGTTGCGAACGCGTTTGAGCTTGGTAGTTTGGGTAAGAGTTTTGATTTCTAAAGTATTCGTTGGCTTCATTCGGCGTATATGAGGTTTGTGATAAAGATGAAATAGTCGACCGTGAAGACTGGCTATCGAAAGACTCTTGTCTATGAAGTGAATGTTTTTCTGTTTGTAGTGGGACAGTTGTCATTTCTGGTTTGTTCATAGCTGATTTGAGAACTCTTTCTAATATGGGATTCGGTATATAGCTATCGTCTTCCTGATCTTCAGCTGTCGCCACTAAAATGACTTGATCGCAAAACGATACTGATTTCTTTTTCGGCTTAGATCGGTCTCCAGTATTAGTGGTGTTGTTTATTTTTCCTAAATTGTATTCTTCGTCATTTTGCTTTTGTTCGGTAGATGATGAAGAGGTACGACGGTTATAATGTCCATTACTTGATTGGATTGAGCAATTAATAACATCTCTATTTGAACCCATATTGAGGTACCCGACATGGGATCTTTCATTATCTAGGGGAGATATAGGGGAGTTTTGAAGATTAGGTTCAAACCTAGAAGCGATACTTCTAACACTTGAGTTATTATCTGCCGGTTTATTTAAAAAGTTTTCTCCTGGTGAGGAAAGTTGACCCTCTATTGATCCGGATCGCTTTAGTTTTATAGCAGCCTGTTTGGCTTGCAGTTCTTTGAGCCAAGTATCTCCGGAACTGCCGATTGTTTCAAATTGGTTTTTAGCGAGGTTATTTTCATTTCTCAAAATTTGACTTCTTTTTTCCTGAAGTTGTGCTAGGAGTGACCCTTTTGGCACATCAATATGTTCGTCATTTATCTTTTGAATGTAGTTCAGATCCATGTTACAATTTTGGTTAATATTGTGAAGCTCTTCTTGTAATGGAGTTAAATCTATAGGTGGAGGTGGCGGTGGGAATTCTTCACTCGGTTGTCTGGAGTGATTGACAGAATTCATTGGGCTCGGATATGGTGGCAGATCCAACAAGTGCGGCGATCTTCTTATGTTTTGAGGAAGAGGGCAATCTACCACGTCAATACCATTGTCGAATGATCTGGTGAGATTCTGTATAGTTTGATGGGACGGTAAAATATCTAATATTTTCGTCAGATCTCTCCTTACTGGACTTTGCTCTTGATGAACCATTGCTTGAGTTACAACAGTCTGAAAATTTTGTGATGTATTTGGAGAGTCATCTAAAGTGCAGTTGTAGTGGTTCGTTGGTTGTTCATCATATGAGGGCACAAATGGCAATGACTGCGGCTCTTCGCCGTATTGCTCCGAAAAGCCTCCGTCTTCATCGTTATCATTAGTATAATTATATACTCCTTGCGAAGCAGGAGGCAATGGCTGTTGCGGACGGTTCTGTATGCCGTGCTCTGAGACTTCTGACTCAAACTTAGGCCCGCTAAGCTGGGAAGTAGTTCGCAGTGGTGGTGGAGGAGGAACTTTAGCAGCGGTCAACATTTTACCCGCACTTCCATGAAAACTTTTCCTCATTAGTTTACTTCTTTCAAGATTTGGATTAGTCCCACTTGCTGCAGAATACTCCAGATGTCCTTCTGATAAATAGCCGCTTAAATTATTTTTGTCCTCCGTTTTTTTTCTTCCTACATCACCGTCATCAACGGACCCAACTCGCTTTTCTTTGCTGGTTTCTTCTTTCTTAACATCGGCACCTTCAGTTAAGTCGGGCATGGATCTGTTTTTCCGCCTTATAAGTCCACCCATTAACTTTCTTCGTATTTTGTGTTGCTTTTTGTTCGATTTTTTATCTTCCACGGGTTCATCTTTTTTATCGACAGCAACGGTTATTTCTTTCCTAGCACGGCCACGGTCTTCACTTCGAGATCTTTTGTCTCTACTTTTTTCTTCTTCGCGAGATTTGTGTCTAGGCGGTCGTTCCCGTGGTGAAGTTTCAATGTCATCTTCTATAGCTTTTGACTTTTTTGAAGATCCCTTTTTCTTGGGTAGAGTAGCATAAATTTCAATTGTCGTAGGGGCACTTTCAAGACCTCCTTTTGTGTTTCGAACAGGAGCCATTTGTGGAATTTCAGTCTGTCTGATGAAACCAGCCATTCGTCTTTGAAGACTCCTTGCTCGCATTACACAAGTGTTATGCTTCATTCTTGCGAATGTCATAGTATGCGGATTATTGTAAGGAGCATCCATAGCTGCACAAACTTTTGTGGCAGCTGCATCGCATAATACTAACGCAGTCTCATAATCAGCGGCATCTTCTGCATGACGAGACTTCTCTAGTAATCGATCAGCTTCCATGCACAACGCTTCGCAATCTCCCCTAGTTATGAGTTCAGGAATTTGTGCAAGTTGTAAATTGTGTCGAAGGCCTTGTTGCAACGGAAGACTGTCTGTCGAAGATAAAGAATAGGAGTCGTATCCTGCATCACAAGACCCACCGCTAGATAATTCACCTTTACGTGTAGGACTACTGGGTATACTGCCAGGTCCTCTGCCTCGAGGATACATGTATGGGCTTTCAATAGTGGAAGACGATGCGGAGGAAGCACTGTTTCTGTCGCCACTCCAATTTCCAGAGTCTCTTCTCGCCCGCGGTCTTTCTTGGGTGTCTGAAGCTGAGCTGGTGCTAAGACTTCGTGCCAATTGTGCTCGTCTACTAGCGTGTACTTCTAACATATTTTCAACCGTTTTTCTGCTAACATAATCACTGTCATTATCTGGTCCCGGAGTCATCGCCCGCCTAGCGAAGCCAGTTGTAGGCTTTTCGGGAGCTGGAGTGACGGCCCTTCGAGGTTCCGGCGCTGGGAATGGAACAACGTCTTTGGGAGCGTGACGTGTATCGCACGGTGTTCCATCAACTGCCGCGTACAAGAGTAGAAGCGGTTGGAACCTTGCACGTTTACATTTTTCGACAACCTGAGACCATTCGGGCCCGATTTCTTTAACGTCAGCGTCGTCAAAGTATATCCAGAGCTTGAGTTTGCTATGGAAAAAGAAAGTTGAATAGTGTTTTCCGTAGTACGTGACGAGTCCGACGAGACGATGCGTCGCTCGGGCGGCCCAGGCGCGGTCAACACAGGAGTGAAAGGCGTCTGTTGGTCTTAGTTCTGTACCGAGAGCTGAATAAACCGCAGCTACGTGTTCGGCTGATGGTCGTTCAGAGTCCCAGACCATGCCAATGGAAACCACCTCTGGCCGATTCATTAAAGTCCTGCAGATTTGAATCTTCGCACCGCAAGCGTTCTGAAAAATAATGAAACAGTAAATTAATTGCTAAGTCAACATTTTGTATTACTAAGTCCTATCATTTAAACCCAATCAATTATTTTCATTGATCTTTATAAAATTATAAACTATTAAAACTTATACACTTACAGGACAGTCTCGTATGTCACCCATGCCTCCAGCCTTCTTCAACAAAAGACCGAAGCTGTCGCCATGTTCGCCAAGCGCCGCCTGCGCTGTTAGGGCGGTGGCAGATACGTAGTGGACCATCTGGAATTAAAAATAAAATTTTGAGTTCAGTCATATTACCTATATTTCACTTCAAACCTTAATGAATACAGTGACACGGTGTGTAGTCCGTAGAACGGCTTTGCTTTGGAATTGGTACTATATAATTTTTTTGTGAAATCTGTATGTAAGTTTATTGCAAGTTCTTCTCTTCCGTTCTACGCCCTTGATTTGAGAACTGGCAGTAAATGTAAAATTATAAGCATTCAATGTATATATCATTGTATACATTGTGTTACCTATATGAATAAATTTTTTTTGACTTGTATATGTATAAATAAAACATACCTGCGTAAATGGTAAAGGTTCTGACGTCGCTTGACAAGCTCCACACACAGATTGTTCGACGAGCATCATAGCGAACTTTCTATGCGGCACGCAGTGTGGTGCTCTGCAGGCATCATCATCCCTTTTGTCGCCCGTACCAGCGGCCACGTGTGCATGGACTCTTAGGAGTAGATGTTCGAAACACTCGCTGGCGTCTGCCATGCAGCCAAGCTGGAACCTGGCTCCCCCGCCGCCCAAAGCACGCCGTAGGCTGTCCGCCGCTGGAGCGCGCTCTGCTGACCATTGTAGTTGCCCAAATAATTCCTGCAAAAATGGAGAAATATGTTCAATACTGAAAGAAAATTAAAGAACTAGAAAACGCACTCGCGCGAAGGCACGAAAACACAGAATTTTTTTGAAGTTACATTATATTATTTATTAAAATAATAAAATTATTATATTATTAAATAAAGTTTAAACCTTTATTTCAATAATAAAGAGAACAAAATATAAATTATATAAAAAAGAAAAAGTTTAACAACAAGTTCCTCTTTATACTTCCTTTTCACAAAGCCTCCTCCAACTTTTCCATTCCTTCCTATCTCTAAGTCTTTCCACAGAGGACCAGTGGCTTTTTAAAGTCGTCAGCCCACCCACATGGTCTTCCTCTCTTTCCTTGGTGTTGTAGCGAGGTGTCCATTGGGTGACTTTTTTCACCATTTTGCTCTCTGGCCTCTGACAGGTGTCCTTCCATTCCATAACCTTTTGCTCTGGTCATTACATCTTCCAGTTGGTGATCCTTCAGATCTACAGCTCTTTCCTATCATTCTTGTAACCTAGTATGCTCTTTCCATACTTCTCTCAAGTCACAAACTTTTGACTTGTGACTTGCTTAGTGGTCCAAGTTTCCACCGTAGTTAGATAGGTAAGATACAGGTTTGAAGATCTCCTTTTGATCCTAAGTGGGTACTCTTTATTCTTTAGGATTGTTTTAATGACAGAATCTTTTCCAGGCATTTGAGGTTCTTCTCTCTATTTCCTATGGGCTTGTTCTGTCATGGAGATGAGTTGTCCCAGGTATATTAGGTTGTCACATATTCTAGGTTTTCTTCTCTAGATAATAGTATCTGGTGTTCTGTTTGTCATGGCTTTTTTTTTAATTTTTCATTGTTAAACCCACTTCTTTGCTTTTTTGCCATTCTACATCATAGTTTGTAGTGTTCTCAGGTTGTCATTATGAGCACAATGTCATCTGCAAATCTCAAATGGTGATCTTTCTCCATCTTTTGATACCGCAATCTTCCCAGTGTAGGTTTCTGAAGACTTCTTCACAACTAGTAAAGAGCTTAGGCGAAAGAGGGTCTCCCTTCTGACTCCTTTTTTGAGTGGAAATGATTCTCCCACATCTCCAGTTCACCCTCCGAGCACTGGCTGTAGACATTTCCGATGAGTTTAATGTATTTCCCTTCAATGCCTTGGTTTTTAGCGCTCTCCAAATGCATGGGTGCTCCAAAGAATCGAAAGTTTGCTGTAGTCGACAAAAGCCAGATACAGGGATATCCATATTCCTGGCACTTTTCGACAATTTGCTTCAAGGTGTGCATGTGGTCTATTTGAGAATCCAGACCGAAATCGCTTGCTCGATAGGTTGTTGTTCGTCAAGTTGTTTGGTGATCGGTTGAGAATGATTTTTCAAAGACTTTATACACGTTGGAATAAGACTGATAGGACGATAGTTGCTAAGGTTTCTTTGTCTCCTTTCTTTGGATTAGATTATTGTGCTTTGTGTCCATTGTGTAGGTATGTATTCAGTATCAATATTTCATTAATAGATTTGTTAATGTTGTTATGTGTCGGGGCCAGGGATTTTTCATTTTTCTGTGTCAGGATTGCATATTCGACTTCCCTTTCTAAAACAGGTGGGATAGGTTCTTCTGTTCTGGGTCAGGGTTGGCATATGTTTCGGAATTGTTGTTACATGAGTACAGTTCTTTAAAGAAGGATGTTCATATCTAGTATTGTTTTTCTATTTGTAACTAAGTTTTTGTCCTGTTTTTTGAGTCTTGGTATCCATTGTTTAGGTGGTTGTAGTTCTTTTAGGGCTTTCCTTATTCCTCCTTTTTAGTAATATGATTTATTATGCAGTCCATTGTTTTTTTTGCTTTATCCTTTTTTATACTCTTGTTAATTTCTTTGCTGATCCTTGTTATTTCTTTTAATATATCTTTATCCTTTTTGTTCTTGAATAATTCTTTTCTTTCCGAAATTAGTTGTTTGGTCTTTGCTTAATATTTCCTTCGTCTGTTGTTTTGGTTTTTAGCTTGATACATTCTGTTTATTTCTTTATTGTATCTTTCCTGCATTGCGTTCGGCGATTCTAGCAGATGGTTTGCGTCTAATTTGGTAGTAAGGGTGTATTCCTCAGAAGGTAGCACTTGTTTGTAGCTTGCCTAGATTTAACCTGGTTTTGGAGTGTAAGGTTGCTCTGACCATTCTGTGGTTGGTGTAGAAGTTGAACTGGTTGATTACCTTTACGTCTTTGAAAGCTTTGGGTTGATTGCTTGTTATGAAATGATTTCGTTATGGTAGCTACCGTCTGTGATTCAGGTCCATTTTTGCTAGGTTTTTTCTTAAAGAATGTGTTGAGGATTGCCAGGTTGTTTTCTGACTCAGATTTACTAGTCGTTCTCGTTATTATTTCTCTTTCCTATGTGTATTCGCCGATGATATTTTCTTCTCCTGATCTTTGCTTGCCAATTTTCCCATTAAAGTCTCCCATAATTATTAAGTTTTTTCTGTTACATCTATTGTTTTGGATAGTTGATGATAGAATGAGTCTTTGTGGCTTCTTCTGCTTGTTCTGTTGGTGCATACACTTGTATCAATATTATTAAATAAAGTTTATTATTAAAAGAAGTCCCTTTAGGCAAGGTTCCTGAAGGATACTGGCAGCGTTCCCCCTTTTCTATATTATTTCAGCTAGACTAATTCTTTGTTCTAGGTAGCTGCCAGCTCTTCGTTCTTCTGTGATGTCGACTAACCTTTTTGCTATTTCCTTAAAAAGCGTTATAGCGCTAGGACCCCAACAACCAAGTCTCTCGACACCGAATGGGACAAAATCATATTAGGAGCCTACGGATTACGAAATAAAGAATTTTCTTAAATTTAAAAAGTTCAGATATATTTATAGTATGTCCAGTATCTAGACATATAAATAGCTGAATCGTCATTTTAACAGACTATAATGCATGACCTAGAATAAAATGAAACATGAAGGTGTCATTCAAACTGAGGCAACTTCGCAACAAATTCCAAAAGCTTTCGAAATAATTTAAAAGCAAGATTTGAAGTTACATTTTATCAACACGTTCTGAATATATGTTACATATTATTAAAATGCTTAGCTCACGCTTAGAAATAGATTTCAATCTATTTCAATACGTGGTAATTTATACTTCATAACTAGGTACTCGTAAGATGAATGTCAAAAATAGCATTACGTTATTGAAATTTGAAAAATCTATTAAGCTATTTCACGTGATTTACGCCTACTAATAAAAAAACCCGAATTGTAAAACGAATTAACAAATTATAGTAAACATTAAATTGAGTTCAATATGAACATAAAGCAAAGAACGATAGGTCACAGATATGCGTTCTCTGACCCGATAGCATTTTGTTTTTTATCACGAGTAATCACAATTTAATACAATCACTTCTCGATTCTCCGTAGCCTTTCTCTTTGCTATAAACCATTGTAAGTATAATTGTACAATCGATTAATATAGTCATAGTATAGTCGTAATTTAATATAGTAGCAGTATATTACTATTATTGGCAATAAACTTATTTGATTATCCGATTTCTGTAACTCAAAATACATCCTAATTTAGGCGAAAACTTGAAAATCATCATATATTTAAAGTTCCCCCCGTTCTCTTTAAGGCTATAAACTCAAGACTATCGAACAGATGTTTAAACAATTTCCACTATACCTGAGGAAGGGTTACGTGTATAGTTTTATGTATTAAGAATATCCATAGCGATGAGTCACCTACATACCCACTTCACACCATCACACATATTATGGAGATAAAACGTTGAAGAAGCGGATTCCATACTTGCTCAATAGTTTACCCGAGGACATAAGACGTGAGACTTCATTGGATAAATTTAGAGGTTTATTAAAAAACCATTTGTTAAATATGCTGTAACCTATAAGTAAATTAAGTGTATTAGTATTAGTTGTAGTAGCAGTGTTAGTAATTTAGTGATTTGGAAGTTATGTTTATTTAAGGCGAGTCACCTGCAGTCAAACTGCGTAAGCAGTTTTGCGGGGCATGGTTTGATTTAAGGTGTAACTTTTTTGTGAATAAATATATTTAAAATAAAAAAATAAAAAAAATAATATAGCCGATTCGAGTATACTTAGTTAAATGTATTTAATTATTTTTATTGACTATTCCTTTCTTATTCTATCGTAAATGTTTTTCTGTTATAATGTCAATCTCTAGTGTAATTTTTGTTTTGTTATAAATAATTTATGTTAGCAGTGGGATTACGAAATAAATAAATAAAAAACCCTGAAATATAATAATTATTGTTTGTTGTGCAAAAAGTCTACGCAAAACACACGAAATCCACGCGTGCAAAGCTGCGGGCGGAAACTCATTAAATAATATACTGGTAAGGCTTTTAAAATAACCTTTTGGTTGATCAAATTATAATAATCTTTATGCTAAGTTTAAGATGCCGATATAAGGCGGATGCGGCATGCATCGTGTTTTCCGTTGTTGCGTCCACTCGGCCATATTAAACACAATAAACAAAATCAAAATAGAATAATAACCATATCGAAATATAGACAATCTTAAATTAATAAGTAATAATAATTTATTGTAATAATCATAGATAACAAACATCGTGTCAAGTGTCAACTATATATCTGGAGCCTGTGACCTCCCAGTTACATATTAACTATATTTTATTTTACATATAATATAGTAGATTTTTCAAATCGTCATAGGTAAATGCTTGTTCTGTATCTGCTGAAATTGGCGTTTGGATATTCTTATGCGCAGTTGTAATATTTCTTAACAGACCCTTACTGCCATTATAAAGTACAAACATAATAGAATTTTCGAACAAACTAAATTCTCTAATGCATTAAAATTAAACCAACCTTAGCAAACTCAGCGTCCTTAACCTTCTGCTAACAATTTCATAAAACAATATATGAACACCCTGGTAGTATGTAGTTTCTTTATATATTCATATTTAAAACACATAAATGTCTAATAAATTCAACACCCGTCCGAGTCGAATTTTATATCCAAGAACAATAGATCATTCAAAGCACGCAACGCGCCATCGACTCTCAAATCCTACGAATACAATTGTCTTATTTTACTTTTCAAACGCTTAATGCTCTTTTAGGGTCAAAACGACTTCTGAATGCCAACTCTAATGAGTAACTGTTTGAAGATTTATGTGTGCGATTTATTCTCTTTACACAAAATGTTCAAGCATTTTATCATAGCCCTTAGAAGTCTTTAAGATATGAAGACGGGTTTAACAAATGTGAAAATTAAACGGACCATGAAAATGGTTTACTTTAAGCGTTTAAAGGGGTAATATATTTTGTGCAGTTATTCTGGCGTTCTTTAAAGAATTTTACATAATAATTAACTGTATAATTAAGTAATTTACGATTAAATGAATACTAGAAAATCATTAATATTTATCCTAACAACATTAATGTATATATGTAACGAATTGTAATTACGCAATCGTGATTGTTACTAATTAAGTATGGGAAGTCACGGAGTTTTGAGAATTGCATTAAAATAAGCATTTATGCTAACTGATTTTCTGCCAGTAAGTGGTGGTCTTAATAAATTTTTTTGTAATATTTTCTTTAGCTAATTCCCAGACTGTAGTGTCGGAGGAATTAAGTAACTTATGTGCGCATAGATATAATCATAAGTAAAATAGCATTTGTAACTAATATGATTATGATTAAGTAGGTTATTTCTGTTACCGACTTTTTGTAACAACGGCAAACTTTAGAAAGATGTCTCATAATCTTTTATTCAACATTATTTTGTTAAGTTAGTGCCTGTTGCTTTCGTTCCAGCATTTAAATCTGAATCTGTCTTCATCTATTTCTGTAAATAAATTACCTATCAAATACGCAATATTATACATCAAACAACACATCTCCACTTGAATATATAAAAATGGTCAAATTTTTGAGGATATATACTAAAGGAAAACCTTTAAAGTTTTGAAATCAAATGTATATTAAGTTTAATTTTACGATATTTCAGATGAGATACCCTTAGTCTAAAGCTTAAATATTAGTATAGATATTAATAAAACTTACACGAAACAACGCCAAGGTAGTTTGGTTCAAAGGAATCTCAGGTGCGTCTCGCTTGTTAGCGGTAGGCGGACGAGATCGCGGCAGCGTATTATGCCTCACTCCGGCCAAAGATCCCGATAGAAGCAAATCCTTTGGCGGCAAGAGCTCTCTATCTTTCAGCCCTTCGATCTTCTGCTTCTGAATCGCCGTTCCACTCTTCCCTCCATCGCTCGTCTCCTTACGTTTATAGCGAAACTTAATCATTTCTATGTAGTCCGCATCGCTCGCACTAACACCCACAATTTAATTCAATTTCTAAACACATCACTGCAAGACCAAGACAATGCGCTATACATATGTACTCGATAATATCCGCAACGCTAATGGCAATTTGTAAACTAACCGCGTACTGGCTTTTCATTGGAATTTTATTCAACTGAACGTATAAGTATCTAAAGGCGGGAAGACACCAGTTGTAAGCAGGTAGGCGACAGGTGTTTGAAAGTGGGAAGCTATCGAACAACTGTCGGGTTGCGTCACTCCAAATGGGTTCTGTCACATTAACAAATCACTTGTAATTAGTTTATTGTAACACGAATTAACTTAAACAACGCGAGGCTTTGGTGTGACGTCTAAGTTGAAACTAACGCGCGGGCGTAAAACCTTCCAGGTAGAGCCGCTTTTTTATAATCTATTGTTAACTTATCTCACGTGGGCATTTTCTCTTTCCTACTTATGGTGCGTATATGCTGCTATCCCGTTCGTTTATGAGCCTACGGCGCTTTGTTTATTTCTATGTAACTAGAAAATAAACCACGTCGTGCCGTAAAGCTTTTGGAGGCTTTGTTTGAGAACACGTGCGTCGAACGTGTAGCACTGATAATTTTGGTAGAGAATCGGCAACTTTTAGCACCTCAAATGGAAATATCATGTTTTGTTGTTCGAGTTAATAAGTTTCGTTTTTTTTTCGTTCTGAAGTTATACTTCTTTTGGCGCGTTAAGGAAAAATAATGAGAGTAAATTTTTACACAAAAAACTGACACCCTGAAGTTAGCATAGTCAACATTTTAAAATAAAAAAAATATGTAGAAATAACTTTTGTGTGACATTTAAATAAACTTTATTTAACTAGATAATGCGTTATAATAAAAACAATAATTAATATATACAATTTTAAGTATAACTTCTAACGGGTGTACATAAGTACACACATGTTTTTTTAAAACTTTAATTCGTTCGTAACCAAATTTGCTATTTATATATTTTTTTTAGTAGACAAATTACATTCCTATTAATCTGAATGTATTCTTTATACACTCCTTAGTCTTTTGTTAGTTATATTTAAAAAAACATATAATATAGAATATTTCTATAGAATGTGGTCTCCCACACTCTATAGAAATATTCTATATGACTCACGAAGGAAGAATGAAAATAAATATGAGATAAACAAATCACTTGTCAAATTAATAGGAGTAAAAAAGGTGTTTTAAAATATTGCTATACACATCGAAAAGGCATAAAACACTTAATATTAATAACAGATGTGATGGGATAACTCGATCACCATTCCGTAACGGTGAGTCAGTGTGAAAGTATGCGGTACAGAATCCTTTATAAACGTATCACAATTTTTTAAGACTGGTCTTCGGGTCTACTTTTACACCCCTACCTTGAAGATATCTACAGATCTAGGTAGAACTTGTTTTTCCAGTCATCTAAGAATTTTTATTAATGAACATTGTTTTAAAGTTGTTATTGGCTGTTATTTGCAGATATTTATTTTGTCTTATTTATTTATTATTTAATAATCTATTTCTAATACTTTTAATTTTATTTACTATATACTTTTACACAAGACTTCATTACTTACACTACTAACTTTTACTAATATTTTTTTTTCTAGTAAGTATTAGTTCGTACATTCGTTTTTTTGCGAATGAGGCGCAAACTAGCTGCTGTGGTCTCTGGCAGAATAACCAGCGCTGTGGAACAGTCTGCTCCTCAGCATAATGCTGATCCAGGCCAATAGTCCCACAACCACAACACACACGCATTACACACTTATAACGAACCTTGTTCTTCAAGGGACAAGGGAAAAAAATAATTTGTTATCTGTTATTTTTTTCTTCTTTGATTATTGTTATTATGTGTGTTTGTTTTTGTTATGTCTATGTCTATGAATAAGCAAAACAAATTTACCATTAACATTATTTTTATAGCATAGAAATCGACAAGTGTAATTTAATAATTACAAAAAAACCTTATTATTTCGATAGTATCAATTGACCAAGGCACAAATTCATATTATTCAAAAATGACATAGGCTTATGTAAGCGTATGCGCAATTGTTTACGTAACTTTCGTAAAGAAAGCATTTTATGTAAATAACGTGTCTAAACGCTAAACGTCGTTTGCGGAAGCGTATATGTATTTTAAAATGTTTTTTAAATGACTTCTTATCGTTAAGCGTGATTCACGTTAACCTAGAACCGTATTAGGTGGCTTTGCATCTGCATAGTTTGGACTTCTACGCCCACAAAACATAATGTCGTAGATAAGGGACATTTATAATGAACATCGAATTGAGAATTGACAATAAATTATGTCATATTGTGTTGATCAAAGCTTTAGGTACTATTATTAAGGCTTTATTAATGATATAATAATTGTTTAGTTTACATTTCTAAGTGTAATTATTTGTTGTGTTATTTTGTCAGAAATATAAAAAATAAATCAGTGGCGCTACCACTTCTTTAGGCCTGGGTCTCAGATTTCTGTTTCACGATCATTTTTCAATCTATTTGGTGATCAGCCTCATGTGCCTGACATGAAAAAGGAAAGCGACTGGCCTTATCGCTTTCAAGCGATCTCATCCAGGCGACCACTATGAGAACAAAATTTAGATAAGGTGAGCGCAAGAAGTGCAAACCTACATAACACATATAGTTATTAAGCAAAACTAATGGAACAAAGCAAATAAAACATATGTAAAAGTGAAAGGGACAATAATAAAAAGGACACATGAATCACGATATTTTCAGATCAGTTAGTACGAATGTTAGGGATACGATGTGGACAGGTAATGCTTGTACAGTAGAGATTTAGAGATCTCTCTAGAGAGAGAAGGAGCTAAGCAGATAGTTAAAATATGGTTAGTTATAATATTTGTGTTCTTGTATTTGTATGGCCTTAAAGCCTCCCTATTTTCCAATAATACTTAGAATAGTGCAATTAATTAAATTTGTATTAATAATGGCATTTAATAATGTACCTATGGTTTAGCTTGCGTAAAACTTATGTCGACTAACAATGTTAACAGGTAGTTAAAAATTTCCGCTGTATATAACACGATCATTTTCTATTGATACATCCGTGGTACTAACATGATTCCAAAGCATAAAGGTAAAACAACACCACAATATCAATGAAATGACGATCGTGAGATAATTCTCACCGTCTATGATCCAGTTACTATGAGAAATATATTCAATTACATTTAACTTCACAGATAATTAACACGATTTTATACGTAACGATCTGTCAATTTGCGACAATGAGGAAATTTGTGATGTATTCGAATTTAGGTGTAACATTTATTAGTCTTAATAAATGTTAAAAAAATGCAGTGTTGGCCTAGTGGCTTCAGCGTGCGTCTCTCATTCTTGAGGTCGTAGTTTCGATCCCCGGCTGTGTACCAATGGACTTTCTAAGAGCGCATTTAACATTCGCTCGAAATCTGAAGGAAAATATAGTGAAGAAACCGGATTAGACCCAAAAAGTCGACGGCTTGTGTCAAGAACAGAAGGCTGAACCCCATGGGGTTCAAGTGCACAGGCGCTAATTAGTGATTTAAGTTGGCGCCTGGTAGATAATACCGGTGACACCAAAACTGGTGCTTTCCTCGCTCAACGAATAAGTATCGCAATACAGCGAGGAAATGCTGCCAGCATTTAAGGTACACTGCCATAGGGACCAAAGTTTTTAAATTTATTTTAATTTTCTATTTTAATCAATTATTATTATTACTATGTAGGTTAAGAATTTAATATGTGTGTTATTTATTGATATTTAAAATTAATTTCAAATAGTATCTTTTAATGCACAAATGTCTAATAGAATGTTTAGTAAAATATACCACCCCAAGTTCAAAAGATGATTCTCATACATTTCCTTAATATATACCTATATACAATTTTCCTTATAAAGCAATGTAGAAGGTTGTAGCTTTCGACTCAGGCTGCGTCATCACTTCTCAGAAGTCCCAAGGCGGATTCAGTCCGCATTCGTTAGCCGTTACAAAATACGGGTTTTCTCATACAGTTAACATATTACTAACATCCCATTAAGTAATTTCGTCCATTGATTTGCTGAGATGCGAAGTTCAAACTACAAATTTATTACAATAATATATAAAATCATCCATATAAAAAAATCAGGATATATAAGTTATTAGGCAACGGGCGGCCCTATTGCTAACAAGTTATTTCTTCCAGGATATGTAAAAGGCTAAGTAAATGTAAATTAACAAATCATTTAAGTTCTTTTCTGACGTTCATAAGTGTACTTATTTACCTATATGAATAAAGATGTTTTGAGTTTGAATTTGAGTATGGCACGTGTGAAAATGACATGAAAACTTAAGATGGCGAAACGTTAACCAGATCCATACAACTTCCTTACAATCGAGTAGCCCGAATTAGAAAGAGTAGAAGAGTCGCAGCACACAACTCAGGAAGGGACTCTTAAGAATATACATAAATACATAATTACGTAGGAATAAAGAAAATAATTAACACAGGAAAGGTTCCTAAACCGACGGTGAAAGAGACCTTTCTCTCTTTCATATGGAGTTGCTGAAAATTTTCACCGAGTCATTAATTTAAGTTAATCACTTGCTGTTCTATAGAAGGATGTACGATTATCATACAAATTCTCGTAATTGGCTATTCCGATGCATTGTTATATTCAAACAATTGGTTATAACGTCTACACGCATTGAATTCATAGAATTGTTGTTGCAATAATTTTACGCCGAAATTGATGGCTAAAGTAATAAAACGTTATCTAAACATGTGTGCTGGTAACTGGCAACACAATATTATAGTAATACTCCTTTAGACAAAAAAATTGTAAACCAATACAGATAGAGAGACAAAAATTCGAATACGTTTGAGGTGTGTGCATTCAATCTGATAAAGTCTATATCTAAAATATAAAATTCTCGTGTCACAATGTTCCCAATACTCCTCCGAAACGGCTCG